TCTCATTGAACTGTATATAGCAGTGTGGGTGAAATGTCCTAAAATTCATTTTACCTGCATACATAAAATATTAATTAACAAGGAGGCACCCATGAAATTCAAGGGAAAAGTGTTTCTTTCCATAAATCTTAGGAAAAAGTTTCCATGACTCCTAATATTGGCATTACAGTAGGGAGATTATGGTCTCAACTATCCGTAGCCTAATGTAGGGCTCATTCCTGGCAGTGGGGCTACTTATTCCAAATTTGTCTCAATTTTGGGTCAGTATTCTGGACCCATCAATCTCTTCTGCAATCAATCAACACTAATTGAAGAACCTATTATGAGTAATGTCCTGTGTTAGATACTGCAGACACAATGAGAAAAAAAATGAAATAGGAACAGTCCTTTTAAAATGTGCATTCCATTGTTTTTGTCCAAATTTACATATTTGAAATATATATGTCAAGGTTAATTGGGGTTAAAGATTTTTGAAAGTCAATTCAAAATGGAGTTTGCCTGCTAGTTTGCTTGTATTTCTAACTTTCCTATTAGATTAAATTCTATAACCTATTCTGATGGAAAAGGGCCAAAAGGAAAGAAGGTGAAATATTGTCTCAATTTTCAAAAAATAGAAAAGAGTACACAAATTAGAAATCAGTGAGCTTCCCTTTAAAGCCAGATGATATTCTAAAGCATATTTTTAAATAGGTTTGTTTGTGAGTATTTAAGAAAGAAATAACCCCTGAAAGTGAACATAGCTTCTTTAAAGTAGAGAAGATCCCAAATTAACCTTATTTGGTTTTTGGAGTGGATAATGAGACTGATATTCCCTGTTATACAGTTCTTGTTCTGTTCTTGAATACAGAAGGCATATCATGATTCTGAAGAATATTTAGTAATGGTTCTTGTGAAATCCTTTTGAATAGACTGGAGAAATATGACCAACATAATTATAAAATTAGATTGACTTGGTACTGGTAGAATGACTGGAAAAAAACCTGGTAGTTTGATCATAGTAGGTTCTTGAAAATTTTGGCAAACTAATTATGGGTTCACCGCAATGAGATGACATTTAACAGATGAGAAATCCTATACAAAAATATTTTTAAAAATTATCTTTACATACCTTATGGGAGTATCTATGGCTATTTAACAACATATAGGGGGAAAGGTATTGGTGTTTTACTCATGAGAAGCTCAAAATAAGTCAATAGTTTCACATGGAAGCCAAAGAAAACAATGCCATTTGATTTTATATTTTAAAAAGTCATAACCAGGTAAAGAAAATACATGTTCCTACATCATTCTTTTCTTTTTATGTAATATCTGCAGTATTGTGTTCATTCCTAGGTACTACATTTTAGAAAGAAAATACCCAACTGGTAAGTAAGATGTCCACAATGGAGAGAATACAGAAAACCAAGGTTCAAGTGGATTGCTAGATAAAAATACATCAAAGATGATCAGAGCATGGAATTTAATCTTGCTTCTGCCTCCCTTTTCTTTGAATTTGGAAGACTTTCTCTTAGAGCTAAAAAGCCCATTTTGTTCTCAGATGCCCTGATTGCTGAGTCTTAGTTTAGTTCCCTTTTTTGGTTGAATCTTGTTTGTGCTACTGTCCTGTCTAAGCCAATTGTTCTTCTACTTTTAAGTTCATGACTGGTTTTTTCACAGTTTGGTGGAGAGAGAAATTTGACTTGGAAATTCTCTACAGATGTCAGGTATTTAATAAGAGCAAGTGGGGTAAAACAGATATAGAAAGATTGGAGGCCCATCTGTCAAGTCCATTATACCCTTGGATATTCAATTATTTTATGCAGAAAGATTGAACAACCAGAGAGTGGTATTAATTAATCCATATCCTTTTTGCTGCACATTCCTATTATCTATAAGAAGTGTCCAAGAGGGTAGCATTCAAATCAGGTGCTGAAGCCATGATTGGTTAGTCTCCAAAGGCCAATAAGGAACAGAAGGAGAAGGAAGTGGAGGAAATGGAAGGGGAGAAGGTAAAGAGAAGGAAAAAGATAAGGAGCCTGAAGAAGGGGAGGAAGAGAAGGAGTTAGAAGTTAAGAAGTAAGAGGTAGTGGAAGAGGGGTAGAAGAGAAGAAAAGCAAAAGAAAGAAGAGGAGGAAGAAGAGGACAAGAAGGCAAGGCAAGAGAAGGGGACAGGAGAAGAATAAAGAGAAGATGAAAAAGAATGTAGAGAATGCCATGGATAAGATAATTATTGAATAGAGTATACATGTATATAAAAGGATATGAACACCAACTCTTGTTCCAAAATAGAATGCAAAGGAAAGAATACATATACCATCCATTATTTCAAAAAATAGTTTCTGATCTCACAACCATTCAAGGAAAACCATAAGTACACCATGTCCTAAATATGTGACCTCACCCGAAAGGTCACCCAAATTTCAGTTACACTCTAAAAATTACCATACAGAAAAAGCATAAACATTCAATGATGTAGTTAATCTGTTAAATGCCCAAGGAAGGATAATCAGATGACAGATGGAATTCTTGAAGTGACTTTAGAGAGTGTTAATCTCATTCTCCTAAATTTCAGGTGAGGAGTAAAGAGATTAGGTGACTTGTCCCAAATCACATGAACCAATAAATACTGAAAGGACATTCGAACCTTTATCTTCTGACCCCAAATCCAGTGCACTTTCCCCTAATCATGTATCACAGGATAGTTTAGTAGAAACTCTCATAGACTCCACACAGCCTCCATATAGACCTACTGATAGTCTCCCCAAAGGGGAATCCCTTTCTCTATCATTGAAACAGAGCAATACCTTCCAATTTCCTAGTAACAAAGGCTACAATATATATCAAGATTTGATGATAACAAACCTTGGAGAATCATAAACAATAATTAACATTCATCCAGCATGGCCATTGTTTTTTTTCCCTCTAACTAACTGCAATATGAGTAAGGAGAGCAAAGTAGAGTCAGACAGTGGTAACGCTGCTGCAGCCAGAGGCATTGATGGAACTCCACTGGTCCTGAGCGATATAATTGAATAATTATATCATTATTTAATGTTATAATCTATGCCATCCTTCCCTGAATTTCTTTTAGTTATTCTCCTGGTTTATCTAGGATCACAGAAGAAGTAGGAGACTTTGGGGGCCCTATCCTCAAATTCTCCCATGAACCTTCCCTAAAGAAAAGCAATGAACTCAGAAATACTGATTCACATCTTCATTAAATTAAGACCAAAGCACTAGATCACGGATTCATACATTCAACAAATGTAAAATATGTATATACTCTTAGAAGAACAATATGCTAGAGGTTGAGGAAAATAAAATAAATAAAAATAAAATAAAATAAGATAAGATAAGATAAAACAGAGTCTCTTCCCTTCAGGATCTTTTACTCATTATTCAGGTAAGATTTTAAAACAGAAAAGTATAATACACAATTTTACATGATTACTGTAAAACAAAGTCATGTATGAAGGTAAATGGGAAAGGTCATTACCAAATAATAGCTGTAGAGAAGCCATCAGGTAGTGAGTAATATTGGAGTTGATTTGTCCATAATTCAAAAGCATTTATCAAGCAATTGTTCTGTGTCAGGCACAACGCTTTTCCTAAAGTTCAGGGTCCAAACATGTGTCCCCCTTCAATAAATTTAAGTGTTTCCCTTTCACTTCCAGGATTAAATATAAAATTCTCTGTTTGACATTCAAAGGCCTTCATATCCTAGACCTTCCCTACCTTTTCAGGCTTCTTACACACATATACTCTTCAAATCAGTGACACTGACCTCATTGTTCCTCAAATAAGACACTCTATCTCCCTACACTGAGCATTTTCATTGGTTTTATCTGATACATGAAATGCTTTTCCTACTCAACTCTGTCTCTTGGCTTCCCTGGCTTCCTTCAAGTCTCAATAAAACCCCATCTTCTGCTGGAAGCCATTCCCAATCTCTTAATTCAAAGATTTTGCCCTTATTGATTATTTCCTATTTTTTCTTTATGTAACTTGTTTGTTAATATTTGTCTGCATGTTGTCTCTTGCTATGGGTTGTAACCCTGTCAAAGGCAGGGACTGTCTTTTGCTTTTCTTGGTATCCACAAAATTTAGTACACTGTCTAGAATACGGCAGGCACTTAATAAATGTTGATTGACTGACAAGTCTTTCCCTGATTTCAAGGATATTACAATATAAAAGGAGAAATAATACGCAAATAACTATGTTCAAACAAGCTAGATAAAGGACAAATTGAAAATAATCAATAGATGCAATAGATGCAAGGTACTAAAATTAAGTGGGATAAGGAAATGTGGTTGTAAAATGTGGGATGTTATTTGGGACTTGAGGACAGGCAGTGAAAAACTCCCGGCCGTGGAAGATGGAGTATCAAGGTTAGTGTCACTGGATTGCAGAATTTATTGCATTGAATTTGAGAGAGGGCAGGTTGAAGAGAAAGCCTGAAGTATAAGAAGGTAGATAGGTACTAAATAGGCAAAGAGAGGAAAAGAAGAGTAGTCATTAGCTATTAGTCTCCTATTAGTGTCCTTTACAACAAGACTTTTTGACCAACTACCAAACACATAAAGAAGCTAAAAGCAGAGATTATTTTGATGATTCTGCCTTGCTGTTTCAATGTATCCTTCCCTGATGCTTTCTCTCCTTCCTGAAACTTTGCCATTGTCTGACACTAGCCTTATGCCTGCTAATAAGACTTACAAACTAGCAAAGTCATGTCCTTTCTACTGCGCCATGATATGTGTCAACATTGGATTATTAAATAAGGGAATATTTTCAAATGTTTTGAGTGTCAAACAGTGAAATGTCTTTCTTCTCTTAGGGTACACATCACATCAGTGAAAATGATCTTTGGAAATATTGTCATGGTGGATATTGATGGTTCAGTGGAAGGTTGGACCAGATGATATCTCAGGTCCCTTTCAACTAGAAGATTCTATGATGCTAAAGTTACATTCTTACATCAAATATCCCTTGACTCCTTTCAAAAGAAACAGGAACCTCTAACATGAACCAATACAACAGTACCTGGGTCACAGAATTTCTGCTTCTGGGTCTTTCTGATGACCCTCAGACTCAGCTGCTGCTCATTATATTGTTCTTGGGGGCTTACTTAGGCACTGTGCTTGGGAGCTTACTCCTCATCTACTTATTTCTAGCTGACTCACAGCTTCATACACCCACGTACTTTTTCCTTTGCAATTTATCTCTAGCTGACCTTGGTGTCTCTACTATCATAGTTCCACAAGCTGTAGTTCACATGCTAACTAGAAGGAAGGTCATTTCCTTTATTGGATGTGGAGCTCAGGTTTTTCTTTCCATCATTTCTGGAGCTACACAGTGTTCTTTGTTAGCTGTGATGTCCTATGATTGGTACTTGGCAATCTGTGACCCCATGCATTATTCTTTCATCATGACATGGAAGATATGTAGCCAATTGGCATTGGGGTGCTGGATCTGTGGTATTGTTGCATCCTCAGTTGATACCATATTCACACTATGCCTGCCCTACCAAGGAGACAATAAGATTGCTCATTTCTTTTGTGATGCTCCAATTCTCTTGACCCTGGCATCTGGAGACTCTCATAAAGCAGAGATGGCCATTTTCTCCAAGGGTGTAGTGATTCTTCTTATACCTGTGTCCTTGATTCTGGTTTCCTATGGCTTTATCATAGTGACTATGGTCAGGATGAAGACAACCTCAGGAAGACTCAAGGCTTTCTCTACCTGTGGCTCCCATCTCCTTGTGGTCATCCTTTTTTATGGGACCCTAATAATTGCCTACATGACACCTAAGTCCTTTAGGGAACAGATCAAGTGAATTGCTGTGTTCTATGGTGTCATAAACCCTATGCTTAACCCTGTCATCTACAGCCTGAGGAACAAAGATGTAATGAGGGCATTCAGGAATGCAGTAAACAGGAGATAATCCTGATTCTTGTTCTATAACAACATTTGACCACATCTCTTACCTCCAACACTTATCATTTAGTGCCCTGGAAGAAAATGACCATTTCCCTAAGACTGGTAGTAGGGAATGCACGAAAATATTGTCCTTTTGTTTCATACACACACACACACACACACACACACTTAAGCACACACACATATACACACATTTTCACATATTGTTGGGGTCACACAGCTAGTGTATGTCTGAGGTCGGATTTCAACTTATGAAGATCAGTCTTCCTGATTCCAAGCCCGGTGCTGTATCCATTGTGCTACCTAGTTGCCCTCTGTAAATATATATATATGTATGCAAATATATAAATATATTTATATGTGTATATATATTTATGTATTTATATTATATTTATTATACATCCTTACAATGATTCAATTACTGAGAGAAGTTTGTGGTGATGCGTCATTCCCTCCAGAGATTTAGTTGGAGTTTTTCCATTATGAAAAATTCAGGGAAGAGTGCTATCAATGTGAAGTTTTCAAAGGTCCTAGAAATTCTACACTGGACTTTGGAGAATAGAGCAATCTGTGACATAAGGACCCATGGCAATAAGAAAATAGTGAAGAACTAAACAAGAGCATATGATAGCACATGACAAATATTTATTGGCTGACTAACTCTCCAAAATGAGAGAAGAGTAGAGGTTCCTAACTAGAGATCAGTGAACTTCTTTTTAAATTAATTTGTAACTTCGGAGAGAGCAGTTTCGGTGGAATGATAAGATCCAAAGCCAGATTTCAAGGTATTAAGAAGAGAGTGAGAGGAAAGAAAATGGAGGCACCTATTATAGGCACCATTTTCAAGGAGTTTAACTACTAAAGGAAGAAGAAATATCGGATAATAGTTAGCAGGGATGGAAGGATTAAGTAAGGATTTTATTGGGATAGGGGAACCATGGGCACGTTTGAAAGGTATAAGAAATTAGCCAGTACAGAAAGAGATATGAAAAAGCATAGTAGGATTGCTGGGCAGTAAGGGTTCTGTTGAGGGAATTTAACATAAATTTGTAGTGGACCCAGTTAGAATGATTGCATGATTTTTCCACTTTCATTCAGCTACACAAGGAAAAAGGAGACAAAAAGTGGGAGTGATACAAGGCTGAAGCTTAGCTGAGCATAATTGGTGATGTGATGAAGGGAGATAAGAATTAAAGCAAGTAGAACAATGTGGAATTGAATTGGTTGACCAAGGTGTCTCTATAGGAAGAAGAGGAGAGAGTGCAAGAGAAATGACCTGAGAGAAAACAGAAGGGTCAAAGGATTGAGGTTACAGTGCAGGTGAAAAGTAAGGTTATATAAGAGAAGGCAGAGGGAGAGGTGAAAAGTCAATAGATTATGACTAGATAAGGGAATTTAAGAATTCTTGAATATGGAAGTGGCACAAATATGGGTGATGACAAGACCAAGGTTCTGGCCATTTTTGTATGGGGCTGAGGTGGGGTGGAGGTGTAGCTCATGGGAAGTGAAAAGGTTGAGGAATTAAGTGGTTAGGGTATTGGAGGAAGAATCAGTATGCAAGGTAAAGCCCTCTAACATAAGGACAGGAGTTAGGGAGGAGAGAAAATTGTAAGCCAGGTATCAAATTATTTTGATTTTCAGTTTTAGTTTTTTGTAACAGTGGCACTTAGCAGAATGCCTGGCCAAAGATAGTAAGCACTATCTTTGATATTGTCACTAGCTAACAATTCTTTAAAAAAAAAAACTGTTCATGTCTTTTGACCCTTTACCCATTGGGGAAAAGCTTTTGGCCTTATAAATTCACCTTAATTGCTTATATATCTTCATTATCAGGACCTTATATGGGAAAATATGCTCCCCCTAATGGATCACTTCTCTTCTTATTTTTGATGAACTGATTTTCTTCGTGCAAAACCTTTTCAATTTCATATACTTAGAATTACTTATTTTCTTTTTTTTTTTGTCAGCTAGATGGTACAGTGGATTGAGCAATAGGCCTGCAGTGAAGAAGGCCTCCAGAAGATCTGAGTTCAAATCCAGTCTCAGACAATTACTAGCTGTGTGAACCAGGGCAAGTCACTTTAGTCTCAGTTTCCTTATCTGCAAAATGGAGATAATAATGGCACTTATTTCCCAAAATTGTTGTGAGGATCAAATGAGATAATAATTGTAAAGTGGTTGGGACAGTGCCTGGCACATAATAAGTATATGCTAGTTATTATCATTATTAATACTATTAATTAATATGACTATTAATCAATACTAATATTAATAATATTTTAAAAATGAAATCATGCTGACTCTTGGTGGCCACTGCTTTCATTTTGAAAAGCTTAGAGTTTGAAGACCCTACCTTAATTTTTTTTCAAAACCGAAGTGTTTGCTGATCTCCTCTTCAGAAGCACTTCTCCCTTTCTCCACAAATTTCCAAAGGTTTAAAAATAGCTCCAATGAGTTGGTGAATGTAGAAAACCTGACAATATTTAAAGTGATATATAAATGTTAGTTGATATATTGTTGTTATAAAGAAATAGGAATTAAAAATGAATGAATTGGTTCTTTCTAAAAACTTTTCTAGGCCTAAAACCTCAAAAAAAAGAAAATAAATGTCAGACCTGGTACAATTATAACTGGATTCATAAGATAAGAAGACCTAAACTTCATGTAATATTAATTTGATAAATTACCAACAAAGAACTTTAATAAATAGCATTCTCCTTTAACATCCCTATCCCTAACAGGAATGAATGAACTGCCACAATGAAAATACCAAGCCCAGAGGTTTGTGATTAAGAGTCATCCAGCTAATAAATATACTTAGTAGCTCTCTGAAACAGGGCTAATCATTTAAACTCTATCAATTCAGTTTCCTAGTTTTTGTTTTTTAAAGTGGGGGGGATGATAAGGAGATAAGGAGATGATAAGGAGATAAATCTTGAGATTCTATATGAATGGTAGTTAGATGAGGATGGTAATGATGTTGATAATTATGATTATGATTTTGTAATCAAAACTGATCCAGAGTGGAATGCCAATCATTTTTGCCACTTCTGATTAAAGGTTACTTTATATAGTAAGGGAGCTGGTTCCTCCAAAAGTAAAGGGGTTGGTTCCTCCAGCCTAACTCAAGAAAATACAAACCTACCTCAAACAGCTGTGGGTTGGTCTGGAGAAGGTTCATTGATCATAGAACAACTCCCAAGAGGGAGTGTGGGACCTGCAAAAGAAGTAAAACATTGACTCTTTTAGTCACCAGCCACTGGAGAACTATAGCATTCTGCAGTGTTTATTCTTCGGTTTGGATTTGTGGCTTGCATTCTGATATGGTTCTTGTTAATTAAACAGTCTCGACCTCTAGGGGGGATTTTGATTCACAGGAATATATTAGCCCTCCTGGTTAATAGCATTTGAATGCCAGTTGTTAAATATATTGTAACAAATGCAAAATAACTGAAGGATATCAAGTTTTTACCAAAATAATGTAAATGTGAACTGTGAGAATGTCATAGTTTAATGATTTTTGAAGGTGAATTTAAAATAGACTTCTACAAGTTTGTTTGCATTTCTATTTTATTTAATTCAGTTCTATGACCTAATTAATGAGAAAATAATAAGGAACTAAATGAGAGCATATGATAGCACATGACAAATATTATTGACTGAGTGACTCTCCAAAGTGAGAAAAGAGTAGAGGTTCCTAACTAGAGATCAGTAAACTTGTCTTTCATTTCAGAAAAAATTGTACAACATATTCTTTTTTTCATTTCTGAAAAATGTTTAATTCTCAAATAGTATTCTTTGAAGTAGTGCAATTTCACACCTGACACTGGAGATACTTTGAGAATATGCCATCCATACAAGCCCATCCTGAGAAGGTAGCACAATCACATTAATGAGAAATCAGCTTCAATCTTCTTCCTTTTCTTTGTTGACTGGCTAGAAAGGCATGACTCTCTGGCCTCTTTCTGGGTCTGGCATTAAGAATATTCTAATCAATCTAATTGGTGGAAGAAAGCTCATTCTGTGGAGTGAGCAGGATGAACTGTTGGCAGTACTGGGAATCAGCCATCTTGAGGATCATGTCCATGGCAGTTCTTCTATTGACTATATCTATGTAGAGATCAAATTCTTCCAGGCATCAGAAGGGAGATTCTATGATGGACCACGAAGAAAGGATGAAACAAATGGTGGGAAAAGAGCACTCCCATCTAGACAAGGATCACATGTCGCTGAAAGTAGCTTTGCTCCCCTTTCCAGACTGGACTGTGATGACCAGGCTCATGTTTTTGTGGTCAAATAGCATCTTGTCAGAGTCTTAAAGGAATAGTTTGGGAGCATTTAGAAAAGGATACAGTAAGGTAGCTTCATCAAGAAGAGAAGATAGTTTGCTTTTTGAAAATGGTACCAAAATTGGTAGCTCAGGAAAGCATTACATATGAAGCATATTTCATACAAATTTCGTCAAAGGTATGGATGAAGCCTGTCATGAGATAGAGTGTATTAGTTATATGATTATGCAATTAGTTGGATTTGGAAGTGCTTGAATGACTGGACCCAGAGTCAATTTGGAGAAAAGTATTAATTGGATCTCTCCTTGGACTGTTCCATGTAAAAGCATTACCAATGTCTTGGATGAAGACCTAGAAGGAAACCTAATAAAATTTGCAGAACATAGAGCATAGAAAGGGAAGTTAACATGTTGAGTAGCAGAATCATGATGCAAAAATATTTTGGCAGCCAAGAAAGATTCATTGAACCTAATGCAATGATTTAAGAAAAAATGCAAACTTTCATATCTTGATTAAAAAAAGACTTCAACTTTGTAAGTACAGTATTCAGGAGATAAGGTTATAGAACCATTCATGTGAAAAAGCATGAAAGTTTAAGAAAATCAAG